CTGGTGTTTGGAGGAATTTTAAACAGTGAAGTGAGAGAGGAGATACGCACTATGATCATTACTTGATTACCAGTGGTTGTTCACAAAATAGTTGCGCATATTAGAAACACCCTTGTGTTGATTAAAAAGTGAATGTGCTAAAAAATAATGTCCTGATTAAGCCATACCTTGAAGGTCTGGAAGCTGCAGATGGGGTTTTGGGGAGGTGCATTTCTCCAGGTTAATTGTAGTTCTGTTGTTTTGTTCTGAATGTTGTGTTTAAAGTTTCTTTGTTAATGAAGAGCAGTTTTTAGGCTAGTGATAACGGATGTGTTCACACAACGTGTTAAGCCATAAATCATGCAGGGATCATTACAGCCTACTGTGATGTATGAACAGAGCCATAATGCTAAGTTGTAAATCATGGCTGGACTCCTGCTTTGTACTTAACCAAAACAGACAAACCACAGATTGGCTTAGCTTGATATACAGATTTTGTATCCTGGGATGTAGAATGGGGGCATATGTTAGTGGCAAAGTATATGCCTTGCATACTGAAGTTCCTCATTCCAGGTCCTTGGAGTTCCAGGTAGGGGTGGAAAAGGTCAGGCTGGAAATTTTGGACAGCTACTATCATTCAGCTACGTGAACAAGTAATCTGATCCGACATGAAGAAGCTGCCAGTGCTGTTTCCCAGGATAAGATTGTAATAAGACTTTTTTTTTTAAATGCTTCAGGTACATAATTAATATATAAATAAAGTCTAGGTATTCAGAACCAAGCCTGGTGTACAACCAATGGAATGACTGTATAGCAATCTTTGCTTAGAAAGCATGACAACAGGATGCAACCTGGCCTCAAGAAAGAGCTGTCTCAATTCCATGCATATTTGACATGGAAAAAAGAGAGGCTGGAGGCGAAAAGTACATTGCACTCTCTCTTCCAGATTTAGAATTCTAAAAATGCCAGTTCTGTCCTTACAGAAATCTGAAATAGCTTGCAGCCAGCAATCAAAAGGCACAGGGTTATGTGTCACTGAAGTCAATACGCTTGTGTATGTGTGTGAATGAAGTGGAACAATTGGAAATCATGCATATGATTTGCACTATAATGGAGCTTTGGGTTCCTTAGGGCAAAACACAGTTCACACAGTTTCCCAATTTCTCTGCCATAATAATGTGCTTAGATAGCTGCTACTATGAATACTGCTGAAATCTTAGACTTTCTATCTCTTTGGAGTAATCTTTCTCAACCTTGGCAACTTTAAGATGGGTGGACTTCAACTGCCAGAATTCCCCAGCCAGCATAGCTTCAACTCTGGGAGTTGAAGTCCACCCATCTTAAAGTTGCCAAGGCTGAGAAACACTGCTTTGGAGGGTTGCTTCTGTTTGTTAAGGTTGCTTTTGTGTGAATGGTGTCTACAATTGTACTGGTGTTTGAATGTGCAGCTGTATTAAGACAGGGAAGCTATGACATTGTGTAATTCTTGAGAGAGACAAGGGAGCTAACTCAGTTGAAATTGAGGCTGACTTAATCGTCTCCGGTGAATTTTATTTTTAACGTAGCATTCTTGTGATCAAACAGATTGCTTAGAGATTACAGAGGACTTATTTATGCATTCATGTGTAAATGTATATTGCACGACAAAAAGGGATAACTTGCCAGTCAGCTGCTCTAACATCCTTCGATAAAACAGAGATCTTAAGGCCCTAATGAAGGATCTGTATTTGAAAATATTTGGAACTCTTGCCCCTTAAGGAGCACATTTGCAGGTCTCAACTGAGAGTGTCTCAGTTCTGTGTAAAAGCTAATCAGAATAGAAGGACTTGCAGTAATGAGATCTCGGAGGCCACATAAACTGTTTTTCTCTTCTTGTAGCACCAGTGTGATACTCTCTGCAGTGTGGGGTTATTGTACTGGATTTTTAACCGTCTGTTTATCCTTACCTTTGGTTGGTTGGCTTGTTAGGCAGATGTGAAGTTTAAAACTCAAAATGCATGGATTCCTATCAGCACTATTGATTTATTAGTCTGGCTTCAGCTAATGATGACATTTTAAACTGAAGTTTGTGGGCTGCAAAAGCCCTCAGTGAAAATGCATTTTTTGAGGATTTGTGCCTTCCGGTGAACAATGCAGCCATCTGTGAGAGATATATGTCTGTCTTTTACTGCTGTGTGCAATAACTGAGAAGGTTCCTAAATGGAAATTCACTATCTAGAGAAACAGAAGCTACCTCATATTGGCTAGATTCTTGCGTTGCACTACACTGATTCATAGTTGATTGGATTTGGGTTGGCATGGTGTGTGAACCTAACCATTGTGGTTGGTAAACCATGGTTTATGGCTTAGTGTTATGTGTGAAAAAGCCATTTGGACTTGTTCAATAAACCATGGTTAAAGCAAACCCTGATTGAGTATGATAATCAGCTACTGATGATCTTCTTTCAACCTCTTTGAAAATATGAATTAAGCTGCGTTCTCTGTTAAAATTGTGTTAACACACAGGGGAGGCAAAATGCTCTCTGGGAGATGTTCATGTAAATTGAAGATGACAGCCTTTGGTTTTAGCTGTGTTCTCAGTTAGCCTGGTCGCTTAAAAAGCAGATGTTCTTCTGGATTAAAAGGTAGATTAGAAAATGAGCATTCGATTTAGGAAATAAAACTTGTAACTGTTTCTTGCATCTTTCTCTCTCTCTCTCTCTCTCTCTCTCTCTCTCTCTTAGTGTTAAATGTATAAATAGCTTTGAAGTCTCAGTAGGAAAAAAGATGTTTTACAGGTACAGCACATAAATAAATGGTTTTGTTCCTTTTTCATTCCTTCTTTGTTCTAGTTGCTGCTCAGAATTGTAATCAGATATTTACTCTGCATTATATTATCACTTCCACCGCACCGTCTGAGTGTATGATATTGTTCTGGCACTTAGCATCATCTTTTCTAAAATTTAGTTGTTGCAAAGGTGTGTAGATTCTTTGTCCTCCATGTTCGTACAAGGCTCTTCAGCATCTCAGCTTCTGCATCAAAGTGTGTCTAAAATCATGCATATTTATACTTAATAATTCCAAATGTACTGTGAATAATATATCTGTTTCTCCTTGCTCCAATGTATAACATTAAAAAAAAAATTAAAGGCTGAATCTGGACCTTAGATATGTTGGAACTAGATGCGGACATGGCAAGGGACAAGCAGATGTGATCAAAGCAAAAAGGAGGAGTATTCAGAAAGAGAAAAAACTACTTCAGATCTATCCAGAGTTGTGTGTGTTTGTGTAATATTTTGTACCCGTACGTTCCAAGCAAACCAGCCCCTGGGAAACTTTTTACTCTTTACTTTTAAAAAAAGTAATTATTTTTCTCTGTCCATTGTTTCCAATTTCATCCAGCTTTAAAAACACAAAGCTTTCATTTTTATCTGCCAAAATGTTTCCCCGTGGCATTATGTGTAGAATTGTTTGTTTGTTTTTAACAAATACTTACATCATCTTTTGTTGTTGTTACTTACTTTAACATTACATCTCATGGGCCAGTTCAGATGATGGCATTGCCAACGACAACAAAACCAACTGCTAAAGATAGGGATATGATGTTGATGCTTTTCCTTTTTAAACACATGTAGAAGTAATTTCCAGAACAATGGCTGAGGATCTTTTTTACAGTGTGAAATAGGCTGGTCAATACTACCTTCTGCCATCTAACTCTTTTCCTTGCCTAGTCAGGGCCCAGAGATGGGAAACTGTTTTTTAGTCAGTTGTGATATTTCAGAAATTTCTCCTACACTCCTTGACTTATATTGGAGAAGCTCACTGTTTCCTTACTCCATTTCTTTATATTAGATTTCGCCAACCTAGTGTCTTCCTGATGTCTTGGCTGGCAGCTCCCATCATTCCCAGCCTGTATCCATGTTGGCTGGAGTTGATGAGAGTTGTAGACAAGTAAAATATATGGAGAGCATCAGGTTGGGGAGGTTGCTTCAGGTTGGAAGGTCCCAAGGAATACATGTGTCTCCCTGAAAGTCGTCCCTGAATTGTAAATTTTAGTGTGGAGTAAATTGGAGTAAATCATTGAAGATATGAGGAGTAATTGTATAAATTGTATTCAATTGCTTTAATGTTAATTTAATCAAATCAGATTAAATGTATTCTGGCCTTCTCAGCTTGTTGTATAGTGCCCATACACTCGATAACCCAGATAGCTCCCAGCCAGAATAAGGTTGGGTTCCACTGCTTTAGATGATGTCATTATACCCCATATGGCCAGTAAACAAACAAATAAATAAATGAAATGGATTCCAGTGTTTGATAGATTTTCCAGTATACATCAGGTATGGTGGCTTTACACCCTACAGCAGAGAATGCCAAGCTGCCATGAAGTACTGATGGGAATGGCTTGTTTCAACATGATTATATTTGGATGGAGAATTATTACACAATACACATTTAGTGATGCTTACTTGAGGAAGTGACATCTGAATTGGCCCTTGAGATGTTCCTACCACCTGCCTGACATGGGTAAAACACAAGCCATTTGGAACAATGGCCTAAACAATTCCAACTACCTAGAAGTTTCTGTAATTGCTCTTCTCATCTCAGCTAAAGATTTGCAGGAGAATTCTCAGGTAGACTGAAGTTCTCCTTATAAGCTCTGAAGAAGAACATATGGATACCTGTCCTAGTTTCATTGGGAAGCTTTTCAAGGAAATTGTACTTGATTCATCTGAAGATGATTTGGATGTTTTGCACAAGCACGAATCTTGCACAGTCACCATTCTTAATCATTTGAAATGCCATAGCCATGTTCAGCAGAATGCAAGTTACGTTTTCCTCTCTCATCAACGGAGAGACGTAGGGCACCTGGGTTATAAATATGTGTTTGCACATGTCACTAACATCCATTGTCCTGTCTTTCTTTTACATCAGCAGCAGTAGAAATACTACTGCAAATGTCATTACCCATGTGTCTCACTTTTTTAAAATCATGCTTATGTGTGTCTGCAGTTTCTGTTCATTTTGTTCACACATGCTTTTTGTTTCTGTTATGTTATGTAGTCTTATACCAGTGGCTAGAAGCCGACCGCCATGACAGGAAGTCAGATACTGCAAAAAGAACATCAGGTAAAAAAAAAAAAACATTAAAAAATGGGGGGTTGCTAAGTTTAACCATAGGCTTTCAGTACCCATTTCCATCTTGTCATTTGTCTTGAATTCCATTAAATTCTGTTCACTGATTAGTTACTTTAAAATTTAATCAGTTATCATCCTTTTCCTGAGGGGTTCTGAGTTAGTCAACAGCCATGTGCTTTTTGTCCTCTTACCAACTCTAAATATGCACACACATTTTTTTTACTCAGGGATTTTTGTACTTCATGCTATTAATGGTTTGCTTAACAATGGCCTGTTGAATAAGCCACAGTTGTCTGGTTCTCCACATCAGGCCAGACCATAAACTCAGTTTTGCGAATCACAGTGCTTGTGATTTAACATTTTAAACCAAAATCCAGCAAACCACATTTTAACTGGTGTGAACCCATCTGATGCTAGAATAATGTGTTATACTTTGTCACATTTGGGAGTTTTCATCTGGGCCAAGGGCTGCTGATTTTCTCAGTGCATCGGAGCCCTGAAAGCTACAAGGCAGCTTAAACCAAATCTCATTTTGCATTGATAGCAATCACGAAGAAATCCATCAGTCAGTCAGAGACACTTAGTAAAATTGGTCTGGAGGATGGAGAAAATGTGGCTTTATTTATTAAAATATTTAAAACTTGCCTTTGGGCTAGCAGATTCCACATCCACTCATAATACTAAAAATATCATGCCCATTAAGGCTAATTAGCAGCAATAACCACAGTAGAAAGTGGAAAAGAAGCTGGTCAGAATAATGCAAATGCTCTCCAAAAATGGCTTTCTTGGACATCCGATAGAAACAAAGGATGGGTTCTGAACACAGGGGATATTGAGGGAGGATTATATAAGGAGCATGTCAAACAGGAAGTTGTTATTTGTGCTGCCAACAAATACTGGTCTTATGGTCGGGCTCCAAGATCTGGGCTGCAAAACTGCAGAAGTCTACTAGATAGCAGCCAAGAGTCACAATAAACATCAACTGTTTGCTGCCACGTCATGGCCATCTGGAATTTTGCAACCCAGATCTTCTGGTCCTGCCTATGGAGTAAAGCAAGATGTTCAAGCTAAGTAATCAAATGAAAAGCTTTCTGAACTCATTCATTTGGTGAGGCCTACCTCCTGGAAAGCCGGGGTTTGTTCTTACAGCTTTAGCAACAAAGAATTCTTAACATCAAAGAACTCTTTTTTACAGCCTCATCAAGATTTGTCTTCTTAGCTTCTTTTGATTTCCTCATTGGATTTTTTTTTCTACATAGAATTGCTGGGAACAAAATCTTAACTGCAGCCTGCCCACCCTTCTTTCAGCAGATCACTGTTGCTTCTGTGGATGATCTGCTAATGGTGGTCTTAACTCCTGTCAGCTGCAGGTAGCATAACTAGTGGTCAGAAGCGATTGCCACTGTTGTCCAACAATATCTTCTAGGGCACGGTTTCTCCATCATTGCACAAAGAGGTGATAGCAAGTAGTCACCATCCCTTGGATAAAACCCCTTGAGATAATCAATTCATTGCAACTACAAATCCCAGTAGCACTTTATAATAATCCATAATTACAAAATAGAATAGAGAATGAGCTGTTGCAAGACATGGTGCACTTTCTTCCACACCACTCTTCATGCTTGATGGGAAGGAGATTAATTTTTTCTTTACCTAGTTTATGCAAATTATAGCTTGCTCACAAAAGAGCATCTGAGACCCCAGTCTGATTATGGGATGAGATCCTGGTTTGAGAACAAATGTAATCATAGTTTGCTGTCTTTGGACAGAAAAAGCAAAGTATGGGTTACTTCAGCTTACAAGCTTACAAGCCTTTTCTCCGTGTCTGTGAAGAAGGAATACTTGTACCCATGGGTTACTGTTGCTCATTCTTGTAACAGCCAATAATGGCACATTTTGCCTAAATGTGGCCTAATATGCTTTTAAAAACATTTTTACACACCCCGAAAGTGTAAAAATTGAAAGGGCGCCTCTACTGAGAAAAAGCAGATTCACTAAGATTTGTTGAAACTGTTTCATTAGAATTGACAGCCGGCAAAGTTGACTACCATGACATACAAATTAAGTAGTTTTCTCCTAAAACAGCCAGAGGTAGTTTTACACCAAATATGTGGCAGACTGCACTTCCACAAGATTTGTGACTAATTTTAATCCTAAAATGAGTGGGCTGAGAAGAGTTTCGTGTTTTTGTTCAGCTCCCTATTTGTGTGGTGATACTGATCACAGCTGTACTGATTCAGCTTTTTCAGAACAAACTTTTTAAGCCCTTTCTTTGTGAGTAGCATTGTTTAAAATGTTTAGGATACAACATGTTTAGGATTAGGATTGGAATATAAGAGAAGAGAGCAGAAGCCTTTGTTTTATCCTTGCTCATAGCCTGGAGCTGTTGTGTCGCTTGGAAAACATTGGTCAGTGTTATCACTACCACTTTCCAAGTGTGTTTTCCGAAATGGGTTTGTGAAAGCAGCTACAGGTATAGTTAACTACAGTTCTCATCATAAAAAATAACAGCAAACAGAGGCCTTTGCCAGATGCTTTGCACCCCATTCTGGAAACCAACTCTAGGTGAGCAGTGTGTTCAGCTAGACAACAGGAAACTGGTGAATGTGCAAGAGATTGCTTTTTCTTCTTCCTTGTGATGCAACTACTAATGGCCATCAGAAACCAGCCCTGATCTGAAAGAGAATTGGTGGGAGAGAGAGAAAAGGATTCCCACCCCAAACCCTGTGATGAGAATGTGTGCACGAATGAATGAAGTAATGGATGCATGTATCCACGTGTGTGAGCCTTGAGCCAGCATGGAGTGTGCTGTGTAGATCTGGCCATCAACTTTTAGGTGACCCTATCCTGTTAACTAAACACAAAATGCTGGTGATTGTAAGGAAGAACAATGAAGGTTGTTCTGAGCTGCTTGGAGAAAAACCAAATAAATGCATTACTTTAGAATTTAATAAGGCAATCCTTGTATCATTTGATTTAGTATCCAAGTGAGTATGTTAAGAGTGCTGCTAAATTAAATTTTGCCCATACTGAATGTGACTCATCTGGAGAATGTCATAATGAGAGAATTCACAGTCTAAAACACACACACACATACACACACACACACATCAATCAATCCATCATCTATCTATCTCTTGTCAAGGCACTTTCAGCAGATGAAGTATCTGTTTTCCAGAATCAGGCTTTTTTTTCCTCTGGTCCATGTGGGAATATGTGTTTTCTTTCCTGTTTCTTCTTTCTTGCTTTGCAATCAGCATCATAATTGAATTCCTACTTCTATAATAAATTAATGATTTTGGAAACATATCACTGTGCCCATGTCTCTGCTGCTGTATATTTCTCCAGTGTAATAGCCCTTCTCATGTAGGGCTGTAATAGTATTGTGTTCAAATCTCTAAGGTGATGCCTCTTCAGAAAAAATAATAGTGATAGTGTGTTCATTTTTAGGAAGAGGAGGGATTAGTGAAGTAGCCCTATTTTCTTTACATCATTCTCCAAGCATGTGGAAAATTTCCTCTAACAGGTGAGACTTTCTGCAAAAAAAAAAACAAAAAACGGACCCTGCCCCTGTGGGAAAATGGCGAGGAGGGAGGAGGAGGAGAAGAAGAAGAAGAAAGCGGGGGAGGAATTTTCTGCAAGATTTAGAATCTGGATTTTCCAGAATCCTTATTCTCACGAGTAGCTTCCATGGATGGAAGAAGCTGTTTTCTACAGTTGGTCAACCTTTACACATGAAGAGTGATGTGAGACAACAGGACTAGTAACCCCATCCCCATCTTCCTAAATGCACTTATACTCTTGCCAGTTTCCTGATATGAAAAAGGGCAAATATTCTGATTTCCATAGAAGAAAGGTTTGTGTTATATGATTTACTCAGTATCCAAAGGTAATGTAAAGTTAATTGGAAGTAAGTAAAACATATGTTGTAAAATCTGTTTCACATAACCCTTTGTTAAGGGTTTGCATGATTTTCATGATCACAAGTTCTCACTAGTACACCCTTCTGCTAAGAATAAAGTGCCATCAGCAAGTTAATTTGTAATGGTACTTCCTCATCTTTACTTGCCATTCCAAGGAGATATTAAGGTAATTTCTTGATTTTCTCAATTTCTTTTCCTTCTACAATAAACATTCTGTTGTTATTTTTTTCAATATGCTTTGTATTCTTCTTCTATAGTAGAGTTTCTCATTCTAATGTTTTGTCAGATCTTACCATTATTTTATATCTGGTTACTAAAGAAAAATTCAAACCCAGAGATACTGAATTTGAATTTAAGTCTTATTTTTTATTTAAATGCTTAATTATAAGAAAACATGAATTGTATTTTGATTGATAAGTCTAATTTTGACATACTCATTTTTTGTCTTCCCTTTTAAAAGAATATACACTTTACAGACTTCTTTGATAAGCTTAAGAGGAATAATTCTCATAAAGCCAGTGTCATATTTCCATCCCTGTACTTTAGAGCATGAATTGAACATGAAGTTACACCAAACTGCAATTTTCAAATTCAGCAAGCATAGTTACTAATTTACTAATATACATTTCTATACTGCCTCTTCCAGCAAGTCTAAGTGGCTTACAGTATGTAAAGCTAAATGTATTGATAAAATCACATAAAACAAGCCATGATATATAAAAGCGTAAATATATTTAATAAAAACTACTGATATCTTTAGGTAAGATCTTCCTACCCAGATGCCCTTCTAAAATGGATCATTGTCAAATTTTAAAGGGATGAAAGGGTACAGACGCATCTGACTTCAGAGCTCATACTGTTCCAGAGAGAGGGAGCTGCTGCTAAGAATGGATCTGAACCTCTTGATCTCTTTTGGTATGGGCACCTAGAGGATTCTCACTTTCCTAGAACATGTAATGCAGGAAGACTACCTGCAGAAGACAATTCCACATATAACAAGGGCCCAATAAATTTAGTTACCGAATTTGTTTACCATTGCATTTTTCCTTGGCTGTTTACATCAAAACAAAATAATACATAGATGTATTCAATGGTAATTGAATGGTAATGTATTCAAACTTCCATAGTAAAAAGTGTATGATCAGTAAATAATATTAAAACAAAGGAAACCACTATTAACCCTGGTGTAGCACTGAGGCAGCATTGATTGCACAAAGGGCTTGAAATGGTGGTAGTGCATCCATCCTGGCTGTCCTTGATCTCAAGTGGCTTTTGATACCATTGATCATGGTATTCTTCTCAACCAGCTCAGTGGAATAGAAGTGGGGGACATTGTGTTGGGGTGGATCCTCCAGGGCTAGTTGTAGTCAGTGTTTGGGGGGGAGAGAAATCAAGCCCTAGACCCCTGCTCTGTGAGGGTCCTTGGGCTCTACTCTCTCCCCACTCCTGTTTAATATTTTCATGAATGTCTGGGTGAGGTCATCCATTGCATGAGATGAAGTATCATCAATATGACACTCGTTGTACATCTCTACCCCTGGTCAATCAAGTGATACTGCAAGATGTGTTCTAAGTATTTGGAGGCTGTGAAGATCTGGACGGGAAGGAACAGGCTTAGATTCATCCTTAGTAAGACTGAGTGGCTGTGGGTTTTAGGGCTCCCCAGTACTGAGGACTTTTCATCTTTAGTTCTGGATGGAGTGTCATTCCTCCAGGCAGAACTGGTGCACAATTTGGGAGCAGGTGGCAGTTGCGACTAGGAGAACCTTTGCACAAATTCATTGCATGCACCAACTGAGCTCCACTCACGATCATTCATGCCTTAGTCACCTCTGGTTTGGATTATTGCAACACACTTTACATGGGGCCCTTGAAGACAACTCCAAAGCTGCAAGTGGTTTAGAACGTGGCAGTGTGGGTAATGTGGCATGCCTCAGAACACCCATGTTTTGCTACTACTTCGTAAGCTGCACTGGCTTCTAGTAGGCTTCGAGTGCACTTAAAAGAGCTAGTAATCACCTATAAAGTCCTTCATGATATAGAGCTAGGTTATTTGCAGGACCTACTGTCTCCTAATTCTGCCCCTTCCACCAGATCTGACAGAGTTGGCATGCTCCAGGTCCCTCCTATCGAACAATGCCATTTGATGAGACTTTGGAAGCATGCCTTATCTGTCACAATGCTTGTCTTATGTAACAGCTTCCCTTCCCCCCCAAATTGAGGTGGCCACAACCCTTTTGGCCTTTTGAAAGGCACTGAAGCCCTGGCTGTGATTCTGAGCGATGTTTTAAATATTTTTTATGGGGATGAATGTTAACCCTTGGTAGCTGCTTGTTCAGTTTTGAGGCTGATATTTTTATCTTGTTGTTGTTGTTTTTTTTAATTTGCTGTAAGCTGCCCAGAGTTGTTTTGAATTGTGGCCATGTGGAAGGGAGGGAGGAGGGAGGGAGGAAGGATCCTCAAATGTCCTCCAGAAATACTCTGACTTAATCTGTTTCCCCAAAGCAACAAAGGAGTGGACTTCAGGTAGGAGATTATTCTACAGAACAAGTGCTATAACTGGAAAGAAAAAAACACTATTATGCCCCCCCACCACAAGATGTGGAGAACCATCGGAAGTTTCTCCTGAGATAAATGTCTCAGGCAGGTCGATTTTGGTTGGAGAAGGTGGTCCTGTAAGTACCTAGATGCCAAGCTATATAACATCAGAATAAACACATAGACGCTTGGGCAAAAGACTTTACTGTCGAAGATCACATATAGTCCAATATATCATTTAATGGAAAGAAATTATGCTTTTGACTGACCAGTATAATATGCAGGCTTATCTGCTTGATAATTGTATGGTGTTTTTTGATGGTACAGTATAGCCTGCCCTTTCTAACATCATCATTTTGGAATTCTGAGTTGCAACCCATGTAACGTGAGTCATTATATTAAGTTCTCCTTTGCAACTGCTTTTCTTCATTGGGCTTCAGTATATATTGCACCTTTTACTGATACCAATATGGATTATTAAGGTAACCAGGTTTTGAGTAGGAAGCTTTCTGCCCAGTTTAACTGTAGGCAAGGAAAACTGAATGCGAATAGATAGAAATATAGATCTTCCTGGAAACTAAATTCACAGAGGGCCTGCTATGTTGTTATGTGCATGACTGAAACTAATGTATAACTAAAAAAAGAAGCATGAATTTGATAAACATGTCTGCAAATACATATATTAAGCAGGTACACTTAACAGGACATATAGTTTTTTTCTGTGTAAAGTCTCTAAAATAGCTTAATTGCACCATGTGCAGGTGGCTGCAGGCCATTTTCCAGGTATTGAGTTTCAATCCATGCAATTCCCAGCCATTGTGGCAATTGTGATTAATGTTAGGATGGAACTAACATAACAAAGAATTGTAATCAACATCCTAAATAATTGGAAAGAGGATTAATCTAGCTGTTCGTTTATTGCCTGCTGTGAAGAGCATCTGAAAAAGAAATCCAGTGGTTGGTTTTCTGCCGGCTATGAAGATCCAGCTGAGAATTTGCAGCTAACAGCAATGATTCATTGGTGATAAGCAGAGAGTATTCAAAGGCAATGAAGATCTTAGTGTCTATTCAGATTAATAATGCAATTTTCCTTTCCTCTTCTGCTCCTACAATTTTTACATATTTGCTGATAATGTGGAATATAGACAATATATGCAATCATTTCTGTTGCACCATGTAGAGATGCATCAGGCTATGCAGTCAGGACTCTGGAGTCGGCACATAAAACCTTCGACTCCAACTCCAATATTCATGGTACCTCTGACTCCGACTCCTTTAATTATATATTGATATAGGAAATAAATTACAGATACACTAATTATACATTTCCTATATCAATTGCAAGCACACAACATACAAGGCATTAAAATTAAAATATATCCTGAAAAAATAGGTGAATCAAATTATTATCTATGAAATAGGAAATTTTAATATATTATATACAATTTAAATTTATTAGGAGTCAGAGTCGGTACATTTTTACTGACTCCGACTCTAGTAACCTAAGAATTGCTTCCGACTCCGACTCCACAGCCTTGCAACTGTAGTTCATGCTGCATTTTCAAATACTGTATTGTTTGAAATTCTCTAATTCTTCAGATTCAGGTTCTGTAATTTCAGCAAGAATGCATTGGGGAATATGTCTTTCTAATGCTTCTTACCTATATCCTACAGTGCCAGACTTTTATTTATATATATATGTATATCTGTGTGTGTTCAGTTAACAATTTTTTAAAGTCAGTGAAATAAAAATGAAAATAAAGTTATACAGATAGAACAGTAGAATAAAATAATAGAAGTAACAATTAAAGCATTGATCTTCTAGACCAGGGTTCCTCAACCTTGGCGACTTGAAGATGTATGGACTTCACACATCTTCTGGGAAGATGCTGGCTGGGGAATTCTGGGAGTTGAAGTCCACACATCTTCAAGTCGCCAAAGTTGAGGAACCCTGTTCTAGACCATCATTCTAGGTAGTATAAAACTGATTTAGAATCTACACTGGGGACAAGCCATGAGGCTCTCTAACTTTGCTCTGAAATTCTTGGTTTCTTTTACTCTAGAATATCTCTTTGGATCTGAACTGGGGAACTCTGCTTAAATGTCAGTTAACAAACCAGGAAAATAAGCCAGTGGGGAAGTGTTCAGCCCCAACACTTGTTTTTAATTACCTAAACTGTGCAGATTAGAGTTATTGTCCCCACTATGACAATATTTCTGAAGCATAACGTTATTTTACCAAATAGATTATTAACTAATTATGATTTCAGATTTTTTAAGTGGCTGGTCCTTTCATTATTGTTTTTTTAACTTAAAATATATCACTATAAACTTATATTAAGAAGTTTCATTTGTTTGCCTCACTTTAATGATGGATTATTCCTTTTCCAAAGTTAGGAGGGAAGGTTTTTTTTAAACACATGTTCTCTTTTTCTGTACCCTTTCTTCTCTTTAACCAGGGGTTGAACAAATTTGAAGCTTTCTTTGCAAATAGTTCATTGATGTGATGATTGTTGCTCCTTAATCTGTTGCAGGAGAAAATTTTGACCAGAGCCCCTTGAGAAGAACTTTCAAGTCAAAAGTCTTGGCTCACTATCCCCAGAATATAGAATGGAACCCCTTTGATCAAGATGCAGTCAACATGGTATGTAGAGAAACTGTTCTTCAAAAGGAGTTCCTCATTCTAATCCTTGACCTCTGTGGCAAAGTCTGTTCTTCTTACTTGTTTCAGTTGTCCTCTCTTTCCATTTCTTTATTTCTACAGAATAAAGAAGAGGAATATAGCAGAAATGTATGATCCCATGTAGAGATAATTTATAGTTGTATGTCATCTTTCTCTCCATTGTATACATTGTGTTTGCATAATATGCTGAAACTCAACTACAATACCAATTAAGGCATTTTCTGGCTTTGCATTATATATTCAACTGTAAACTAATAAAACAAAGTGGGTTTGAAGAACATGTTAAGTTACAGAAAAACTAAGTTCATATTGTGTGAAGGTAACCCCTTTAACTGACATGGTTTAGCATATAGTGTGCGTGCTGCCACAGTATCCACAGAATTAAATCCCACAGTCTTTCACAGGACTTATTTTTCAAGTTAGCTTGTAAAACATTTCAGCTTTAAAATCTTCAAAATAATTTGGGCTAGGATGTCAGTGGCATTATTATGCCATTTGCAAAATTCCTTGTACCTTTTAGTATTTCGAGGAGATGAAATTGGACTTTTGAGAGTAGTTGTAATATGAAATCAGTTTTCTTCTTGATTAAGAATTCATTCTGATTTGAAAAAATATATGATTTTGAACGGTGTTTGTTCACTGCTCTTGACGGGTCATGAGGTTGTTACCATGTAAAGGGAAAAAGTCTGTCCTTAGCTGGAGAGAGGAATTGTGACTAAGTGAAGGGGGTAACCGAACTTTCTCTGTTCCTACATAGAGTTGTGGTCAAAGATAGGGCTGTTTTTATGTGAAGTCAATACTGGATTCAGACTTAATTATAAGCTATAAGATTTGTTTAGCTTAGCATGACCTGTGAATCTGGCTATCACAATAAACCATGGTTTAAAGCTCAATGTTGGGTGTGATGCCACTCTGTGGAGGCTTATCCAAGTGATTGATCAAAACTGTGACATAGCACAATGTGTGAATTCAGCCAATGTGTACCTTCAGCCTAAGGAGGACTTAGAAAATGCTTCAGTACAGCTAAGTAAAGCTAAAGTGAAAGTGTTCTCTAAGCCTTCCCTTCTCAAACTTTTACTTCCTAGGTTTACTAAACCCTAATCTTCTTCAGTAGGTCAGTATTTTTACAATGGGGTCACAAAGAGTCGGACACAACTTAACGACTGAACAACAGCAAGACTCGCTGCTTATAGCAATTCTACCATGGTCTAGTAGAAAGCTTTGAACATAACCTGCTTTTCCATGATATAACAACAGATGAAATATCCAGATGCTTCAGCTTCATAAAACTCTTCATTCCTTATGTTATCACTGGTCACAATATCTGATTACTGTACACACTCAAAGAATTGTGAATTATTTAATAAGATACCCCATCCATGTGGGGTAACCTAATATCTGCTGAGGCACCATCAGGCTGTTGCAACCTTCAGGCTCTTATTAACTCCTAAAAAGACCATGATGATTTGATAAAATACCAGAATTCTTATTTCTTCTTCCCATTCTCAAATCTTGCTTGTTGCAAAATCTTGTAATCTGAAGGGGCGAGTGATGGAAGCAAAAGCCTTGTTGAACATGAACAGTTTTCTCTTAATAATCACAGAGACATGTTGCTCTTTTCTTTCAGAATTAATGTTGTCAGTACCTTGTATTTTTTCTGCTTTTTATATCAGTAGCGGTGAGTGATTTTTTGCAGGAAAATGCTCAAACGTTTTTAGGTTAACCTAGAGAAGCATTCTGTTGTTATTAGATGCTAATTGAACTGCAGGTGACAAAACGTTAATAGAAGTTGTTTAATGGAAGTTAGTTAATGGAAACTAACTGCCACTCTCCATTTTTCTACAGAGCTATACAGATGTGCCACACATATTTAAATTTTTTGAACTTTTGTTGCATATAGTGATAATTGTTTCTTGCTCTTTGATTGGGAAAGTGCTCCAGTGAGTCACTACCACATATATGGGGAAGTGACAGGGAATAAGACTGTGGTAATTCTATGAGCACTTGAGTGGGATGCTTGAAATTAGGTTTTGTTCAGTGGTTTAAAACATACATACACATTCAGGTGCATTCTTCAAGTTATACAGATAATTAGTTCTGAAGCCATTAGCTTGGAAACTCTCTGGTTCCGTACATTGCACTAAACCATACTGTGTTTTGTTTACTTTGGTTTAGTGTATTGTCTGAATCCAGCCATTGTGGTTTAAATTATGGTTAACATAGGCCATAGCTTAGTGCAATGTATGAAGTCACCTTATATGCGAAGACAGAATTTGCATGTGTTTAAATCCATAATTGCATCATTCACATAAAAAGCAGGGAGATTGTCAGCGTGTCTTCCTAGAGCATCCTCGGTCTTCTCTACTTGAATATTGCTAACTGATAAGAGTCTGTCCTTCATATGGTGGCCAGAGTAGCATCTCCCAGTTGATCGACTCTCAGATCTGCAGAAACTCTGCTTTCATTTGTGTTCTCTCATATCTTGTCAAGAAGCTACAAGCGATTGAATCATTGGGATGGAAGAAAGGTTTCAGATCTCGCCGGCTGGCTTCCCATTTGGTGGGACCAGCCCATATGCTCTTGAGAAAAAAAATGGCAATATCAATGATGCATTACAGAATGTTCAGGATTTCAGTCATTCCCCTCCATTCAACCCCCCAGCTCCTTCCACAACATTGAGCATGCTCATTCCTCTTTCTTACTATGGAGTTTGTTGGGTTTCCCACTGTGGTTGTTTGGGGGGATTGTTCCAGACTTGCTGATAATTCCTCTTGTATGGGCATGGTGCCATTTTGGCTGCATAATGATGAGCATATACTGAGTCAGTGTGTGCATTTGTGCAAGGCTGTTTGGCTTTGACAGCAGTCCCAATAGAAGGTTCTCTGTCATGCACACACAAGCAGCCAGCACAGCCTTCAAAACAGTTTCATGAGTCTTCCAGAGGTTTGGTTGCTTTAACACTTGGTGTGGGAGGATTGTTTTACTGGTGCTAACAGGCTTCATGAAGCTCTCCTCTCAAATACTTTGTATGGTCTTAATAACAAGTACATCAGAAGAATTGTATTGAACTTGTGCTTTACTTTCCTCATCTTTTTCTCTTCTTTCAAGAAATATTCATAAGGACAATATGTAAATATCTTATCAGCTTTCCAGAAGATTGCTTCCAAGAGAATTTTATACAGCTTAGTGCATTTGTATAATGATGAGTGCTGAATACAGATTCACTTTAGCTACAGTGTTTAATAAAGACACATGTTTATTTATTAATTGATATATATTTGCTGCTATGAAATTATATGACCATGGCTATACTTTTAACATTTATACTAAGTATATAGTTGACATGCATGTAATATTCACCTCCTTTTAAATTTTGTACAACGCACATTACTTGTTAAGGAAATAGGCTTTTTGTTAGCTGCTTTCTTGAGATATCCATAGCTAATGCACAAGGTTGTAAATTAATTTAAGAAGTGTGGCAAATTTCCATTGCTACATAATTATGCAAAATCAATGGAGCTTGAGGCTGGGAATTGTAAGTTTTAAGAATGTTGTTTTTAATTAAATGTTAAGAAAGTGTTTTTTTCACTCTTAGTTTCTTGTTAATAAGCATTATTTGCTTTATCAAATAGGTACTATGTACATGTTTTATAGGAATGCCCATAATAGATGTTATGATGCCGCTAACAGGTGTATTTCCCTCTTCTCTTCCCATAGCTATGCATGCCCAAAGGGCTGTCCTTCAGGACACAAACTGACCACAGAGATCCCCAGTTCCATTCATTCATTATTACCCGGGAAGATGGATCCCGCACTTATGGATTTGTACTCACATTTTTTGAGGAGGTCACAAGCAAGCAGATCTGTGCAGCCATGCAAACTCTTTATCAGATGCACAATGCAGAGCAATGCAACAGTGTTTGCGCCTCATCATCATGCAGCATGGACTCACTGGCCAGCAGTCTGGATGAAGGAGATTCCACGTCACTGGCCAAAATGCAGCGCTACAACTCATATGACATCAACAGGGACACGCTGTATGTTTCCAAGTGTATATGTCTCATTGCTCCCCTGCCTTTCATGCAAGCCTGCAAGAAATTCCTCATCCAGCTTTACAAAGCGGTCACTTCTCAGCAGCCCCCACCTTTGCCCCTGGAAAGCTACATACATAACATTCTTTATGAAGTACCCCTTCCACCCCCAGGAAGGTCACTCAAGTTCTATGGGGTTTATGAGCCTATAGTCTGCCAGAGACCAGGGCCTAACGAACTTCCCCTGTCTGACTATGCTCTCCGGGAGGCGTTTGAGCTGCTGGGCTTGGAGAATCTCATTCAGGTTTTTACATGTGTTCTCTTAGAAATGCAGATTCTTCTTTATTCTCAAGGTAAGTGGACTTCTCCTGATCTGATTGTGGTGTTGACTTTTCTTGTCCTCCAAAATATTAATACCAACACATATCGTGATAATGTTGCTTTTAGCACAACATGAAAGGGTGTTTTCTTAAAGAGAGAAAGGTGTTTTGATGTTTTGCTGGGTGGGGAAGGATGTGTCTAAGATTTTTAAAAGGAATCCCCTGTTTGTTTAATTATGTTGATGACTAGTGATTAATGTTGTCTCCTTTGTGCATATATTGATCTTTCCATAGCATACTTGATAACCTAGCATCACTTGCCTCCAAAATAGTACCATCTAAGAAGACAAACAGTGAATATATCAGCAGACTGATAGGTAGATAATGGAGGGAGAAGTTGGACTGCCTACCATATGCCAACCACAGAAGGTTTTTTTGGCCAGGAAGGGATGCATGAATAAGATTTAATAATAATAGGTCACTCCTGACTACAAAAATTACAGGTACCCCCTCCCCTGTGCAACTTTGCCAAAAGAAAAAATCTGAAATAATCTGACAGATTCTTTGAGAACTAACAGTATTACTTGCAGGCACAAGGTGAATACACGGCATTGGTGCAGAAGGCAGTAGCCATCTTCCAAGAAAGCTGTAATTGTCAGGAACATAGAACTCTTATTAATTGATAAGATCAAGGATTTATGCCCCAATATTTTCCTGGTTTTAAATAGCTTTGTGGAGTCACCTGATTTATGTTTTGAAAGCAATTAGCCTTGACAGTGATTAGCTTCTTTAAAATAATTTTAAACATGTAAGTTTTCTTATGCCAACAAAGAATGTAATGAAATTTGGTGGATGGGGAAGGAATGGCTCTTTCAACAGCTTCAGAACAGTAATGTTTTGAGACTGATAAGGCAGCTTTCTAGGGAGCAGTAACAAAATATGATTGGCACAAGATTGGTGTCAGAGAAGGATAAATTAAATGGTTGGTTCTGTATACACACAGTATGTAAGTGAGTCCACAAGTAATCTAAACAAGAATGCAGATGTTTCTGACCTTTTCCTTTAAGCCCTTCTCTGTCTATGAGTATTTAATAAACTCCTACAACATGATTTTAATGATAGTATATACGGTCCTTCAGCAGAGCTTCCAAATCAGTTTATAAAACAAGGTAATATATCTATAAAATATAATAAACTCGCTAGAAGTTTTTTTCTAAATATATTAAAAATTGTCAGACAACAGCAACAACAAAAAACATAATATTGCTTTTAGTTTGGTCGTTTCCCTTCCAAGAGCATTCTGAAATTTTCTGGAGTTACTGTTCTGATGGAAATGAGGGGAAGATGACATTTCTGGCATCCCCAGATGTCAATGCCCTGCCGAGAGGTTCTGCAAAACCAACAAATTGGATTTCCACCCCACATCATACTAGGGGACTGGGAAATACATGGGTATCTTTACTCTTCCCTTATAAACAAAAGGTGTCTGAAAGCAATTATGGCAACTCCTGTCCTCCTTGCAGTTTCTTTAATGCAGTAGTGATGATTAGTGTAGGGTAGTCTTCCCCAAATGGTTCCCTCTATATCTGCAGCTCCTAGAATCCCTGGCCAACAAATCATAGGCTGAGATGCATCAGGCTGAGAAGATTGATTTAGGATACTGTATTTGGTGGAGTGTGTGTTTGGTGACTGGCTGACAACCTGAGGCCAATTGAAGCTGGAGTGCAAATCCATTATCTTTAATGGAGGACCATGGGAGACATGCATTTCTATGCTAGCTCAGAGAGTGAGCAAGAAAGAAAGAATGACTCTCCTGTGTATTGTCAAAGAGGACTTTAAAAACCTTGGTTACATTATTAATGGTTATGTGTCTGAAATGGCTGAGATAATCAAGTAGCTTTTTAATTTTTTTTAATATAAAAGTTTATTTTCTTCTGGCTTTTACTGTTTTTGGGAAGGATTAATTAGGTCAGAATTGAAGAAAGATGGGGATTGCCAGGGTCCCCTTTCCCTGCCATTGCAAATTTCAATTCCTGCCTGAATGCTCATCAAACTCTGTTTCCGTGCTGGAAGCTTGGTTACGTACTCTGATGTAGATAAGGCATAAACATGGATAATATATTTGAGAAGTGGTTGTTGTTGTTTTTTCTCATTAATGCTCCCCCAGCAGAGAGATAATGGGAAGCCATATAGCTGGTGATGTGTAATATTTACATGCATTTCAAATTGAACTGATCTGTATTTTCTAAGGTCATACTTTAGAGGCATTCCCTGCAAAATCAGTTGCTGAAGTAATCTTTAAATTACAGTGGTACCTCTACTTACGAATGCCCCTACTTACGAAATTTTCGAGATACGATCAGCTCCGGCCCCAAAAATTTACCTCTACTTACGAACTTGCCTTGGCTTACGAGCCATTTTCCGCCCGTTCCACGTGGTCCGTGGCCATTTTCCTCCCATTCCCCGTGGTCCGCGGCCATTTTTCCGCCCGTTCCACGTGGTCCGTGGCCATTTTCCTCCCATTCCCCGTGGTCCGCGGCCATTTTTCCGCCCGTTCCACGTGGTCCGTGGCCATTTCCCACCCATTCCACATGGTCCGCGGCCATTTTTCCCCCCGTTCCACGTGGTCCGCGGCCATTTTTTCCGCCCTGCCGCGTGGTCAGCGGCCGTTTTTCCGCCCCAATGCGTGGTCCGCGGACGCCGGAATGGATTAACGGTAATTACATTGAACCTTAG